GGGTCGGAGTGAGCGGGGTCGGCAGCCGTGTCTGGGTGCAGCCCCAGCTGTTGAGAGGCTCGGCCTGGCTGCACCCTCCCGTCTGGCTGCCCCGGGCTGCAGGGCGTTCTAGGCTTACGGTGGCCAACGTTTGTGTAGTCGAAGCTTCGGGAAGCTGCGTGTGCCTGCTGGGCCGGCCTCGGTTCAGGTGGGCTTCTCGGGGAGCCGGACACAGGCCTCCGTCTGTGATGGGCTGTGACCACAGTGTCCCCTAGGTCTGTGCCCGGTTGCCTTCCCAGGCCCACAGGCTTCCAGGCATTGGCCAGGCCATTGGGACACGCCCTCGAGGCGGATCAGGAGGGACTTCCCGGGGTGGGCGTGTGGCCAAGCCTCCTGTGTCTCCCAGGGTTCTTGGGGATCGAGTCCTCCATCCTGCCTGTCCCCCACTTCTTGCCTTAGACACTGAGGGACTCTCACTTCTTACAGCACAGGGCACATGCAGTTCCCATTATGACAGCGACCACCATCCCTCAGGGATCATTCCTCCTCCGTCGAGACTGTTTTTTGGAGAGGTTTTTGCTATAAGGGCGCATGTGCTCGCCAGAGAGAGACAGAGAGACAGAAAGCGAGAAATCACCTCCCAGGGGGGATGGCCACGCCATAATCCCTTCTCCTCCATTCTCCTCTTGGGATCTTGGGCATGCATGCACACGTGCCCGGCCATGAGTTTAAGCCACCGGGTCCGGGACACGAACCACGGTTGAATACATGGGAGTCCAACGCCATAGCCATTACACCAACTGCTGGTCCCCGAGGTCTGATTTTGTCAGCCAGAGCAGGACCGGCTGGTTGCAGGGAAGCTGGGCTTGGGCCTAGCCCTTGGAGGCCCCCTCGCCCAGCATCTCCGGCTTTGAGCTCCTCTGTCATGAGGTCTGCAATCCAAAATGGGGATGTCAAGCGTGTGGTTGGCTCTTAGGCGCACAGTGGCCCTGTCCGTCTGGACCTCGTGTCCCCTTCCCCACCAAGGATTGGGTCCTGGGGCAGGAGCGGGCCACGCTCTACCCCTCTGTCTGTCCCAGTTGGTCTGCGTCCCGCTGTGTGTCCACCCTGTCACCAGTCGCCGTCGCAGCCCCAGGTGACGGCCACGCTCTCCTGCAGGTGGCCTGCGTGAGTGCCAAGGACGGGACCTGCTCGCTGCGGGACTGCATGTACAAGGACGTGCAGCGGGACTGGCCCGGCTACTCGGAGGGCGACCAGCAGCTGCTCAAGCGGGTGCTCGTCAGGTAACTGCTCCCCCACTCGCCGGCAGGCTCCGTGGCCTCACGGGGTCCCCAAGGCCACAGGCCCCGAGGGCAGGGTGGCAGGGCCCTTGGACACCTCTCTGGCCTCCCAGGTTGTGGGGAGAACAAACAGCAGTTGCTTTGGAGCGGGGTGAGGCCAAGTCACTGGTCCCGAGCCCAGAACCCATGGACAAAAGGCCACCGTCCATGCCCCACCCACAGGGGTTTCCATCTTCCCATTAAGACACCTCCCAGGGACCAGCAGTTAGTGTAATGGCTATGTCGCTGGACTCCCATGTAGTCGACCACGGTTCAAGTCCCGGACCCGGTGGCTTAAACTCACGCCGTCTGCGTGTGTGTGTGTGCCCAAGATCCCGAGAGGAGAATGGAGGAGAAAGGATTGTGGCATGGCCATCCGCCCTGGGGGGTGATTTCTCGCTTTCTATCTCTCTGTCTCTCTCTGTCTGTCTGGCGAGCGCATGCGCCCTATAGCAAAAACCTCTCCAAAAAAAAAAGAAAGACTCCTCCCGAAATGTGGGCGGGTCCCCGGGCCTCTGCAGAAGCCCTCTTATTTTTATTTATTTATTTATTTTTTTGGAGAGATTTTTGCCATAGGGTGCATGCGCTCGCCAGACAGACAGAGACAGAGAGACAGAAAGTGAGAAATTACCCCCCAGGGGGGATGGCCACGCCGCAATCCCTTCTCTTCCATTCTCCTCTCGGGATCTTGGGCATGCACGCACATGCACCCAGCATGAGTTGAAGCCACCGGGTCCGGGACTCGAACCACAGTCGACTACATGGGAGTCCAGAGACACAGCCATTGCATCAACTACTGGTCCCAAGTGAAATGATTCACAAAAAAAATCCACAAAGATCTTCTGGAGAGAAGCCAGACAAAGCAGACTTCCCACAGGGTGATTGGGCAGCGTTAATTAAACACATCCCCAGGGCCAGCAGGTGGCATGGTGGCTAAGGCATTGGACTCCCACATGGCCAACTGCAGTTCGAGTCCTGGACCCGCAGCTTCAAACTCAAGCTGGGTGTGTGCATTCGTGCGTGCCCAAGATCCCAGAGGACAATGGAGGAGAAGGGATTGTGATGTGGCTATCCCCCCTGGGGGGTGATTTCTCGCTTTCCCCCACTCTGGTGGCCTTTCCTTGGGACCCAGCCATGAGGGGAGGGCTCAGAGCAGGCCCGGGCGCTGAGGCCCTTCCTGATGACCTGGGGCTGTCGCTGTCTGCAGGTGTGTGGAGTGGGCTGGGCGTGCAGCAGAGCAGAGCGGGGCCTCCCGGGGCCGTGTGTGCGCCC